AGAGGGTTCCTCGAGCTGAAGGGATCCCCCGAATTTGGTGCTGATCCGCCGCGCCGTTACGGAGATATGGCCGTTCAAAGTTTCAATGGTTTTCCATAGACTTAAGCTTTAAAGCGTTTCATCCAGGTCGCCAGTAGCAAACAATGGAGTGCGCTCTGCTGGACAAACTAACTAATTACACCAATTCAAGCATTTTATCTGCGTTATGTGCTCTGTAAAAAAAAAATTTCATATCGGTACCGATATATCGGCGACAGGCTCATATCGGCCAATAATATCGGCTAAACGATATATCGGTCGGGCTCAAATATATATACAGTCAAACCAAAATTTATTTAGACAACTTCAACATTTCTCACATTATCACAGTTTATTCGCTATAGTTTATAAATGATAATAAAATATGACAAGAACTCAGAACTAAAGAGTTAAACTGTGTCGGAACAAATTCATCTTGATAATTAATTAGGTTGAATAGCTGTCAGCTGTTAAATTTAAGTACACAATTAGATAATACCAATTTAGGAACTTATGTTTTTTCCCCTAAAAAACAAATTTTTTATACGCGTAGCGTATTTTAACCATGCAGCAAACCGTTTTAAATATTTTGATAAATTACTGAAAAAATAAATAATTAAATGACTTTTTAAACCGTTTAACTGATTGTATTAATCGGTCAAAATTCTTACCGTCGGTTAACCGGTTAAAATTAACATCCCTAATTTTGGTCCCAAATTTTTTATCAATTTTACTGGTAGACCCCTGTATGAAGAATTTTTGGGTATAATATGTCAGTTTACTTTATTTTGCTATCCTTACTTACATAAATGAATTATAGTGTCCTGCACCCACTAGTAAAAAAAAAATATATCAAAAATCATATCTGGTGTCTGAATAATTTTTGGTTTGACTGTACATATATACACATAAATCTAAGCTGAAATATTTTATAAAGTCATTTACAAACAACTAGAAAGTGACCATAATCTCTGACTTACGTCTGCTTTCATAAATGGCACGTGACTTCTCATAGAGGTCGTAGGGGTCCGGCTTGCCCAGGTGGAAGGGCTCTGTGTCCGGAACAGAGGAGCGATGGAGCGTCTGGCCGGGATGAGGGGTACCGTGGGGGAGCAAAGCAGCCGACAAGCTGGTCTGGGGGCTTCCTTGAGTGTCCCACTGTATGGACAACACAGATATGGACTGGTTTGAGTGGATAATATACATACATGCACCAAAAAGAAGTGCAAATCTCTCATGTACATCTTTTAAAAGTTCAAGAGGAGAACATTCAGCGTATCATAAAGGTGACCCCTGTCATTACTCCTGGCCTCTTTCTGCGAGGAGAGAGTTTAGCAGTCCAATCGCTCTCTGGAGGTTCAGTGGGGGAGATGAATTAAGCTCTAAGTGAGGGACTAAAGTGTGAAGCGAAGTATCTGTGCTACAGTCATGTGCCCCGGGGGCTAATGGATCCTATTTCCTGTGAGCTGTTCATTTCACCTGCAGCTCTCTCCGCTTAACCTGCCAATTCCATTACGAGCCCTGAATCCAGCAGAACTGGACGGCTTCCTGAAAATGATGTATCCCACACCGGGATGAAAGTGAACTCACATGAAATTAGATATCATTCTAGAAATACCTAAATGTGCTAAATGAAATGTTGCATTACTTTACAAGGCTTTGGAGAAACTTAACCTGGGTTGTATAGTCCATTTAGTTTCGCAAACACCATTTGTGGATCTGCAATGCAATTAAGACATGTAAAACTATGGAAGATAATACAAGTGGACTAAAAACACTGTGGAGCATTCATTTGTTGTGGGATAGTGACAAACACGGCCTGGGATATTCTGCTAAATATAACCTTTTATTAAATGGCTTGCTGGAATACTTGTTTTTGATTGGCCGATCAGAAATGGTCAATCATGCAAGCATGTATGTATGTATATGTGTGTGTGTGTGTATATATATATATATCAAATAAATTATATAATTAAAAATTATATACATTTTTGTATCAACCAGGATTATTATAGTTAAACTAAACTAAAAACTAATAGTTAAACTACAAATGAAACTACATTTTAAAACCACAAAAAATTTTACTCAAAATAAAATAAATGTTAACTGAAATAAATGGCTAAAACTGAAAGAGGTTATGGTTAGACATATATACCATAAAAAACATATATACTATACCACCATATCATGTAATTAATCAGATTAAAAAATTGTATTG